GGCGCAGGCCCCCCCCCCGGCTTGGGGGGCCGGGCGGCTGCCCAGCCGCTCTGCCCCTGCCGAGCAGCAGAAGGAGGTGGAGGTGGCCAGCCTGACACAGCGGACGACCATGCTGGCCGGCCGGGTGCAGGAGCTCAGCACCCCCAGCGCCCTGGATGCCCGCGCCGCGCCCGCACTCAGGAAGCAGCTCTGGGACCTGGAGGCCAGCGCTGCCGAGCAGCAGAAAGAGCTGGAGCAGCAAACGGCCGCTGTCGATCACCTGGAGCAGGTAGCGTGGCCCCCACCCAGGCTGGGGCTGGGTGTGCCAGGGATGTTCATCTCTGCACCTTTGTCCCTCTGGGGTTGTGTACAACTGCTGTGCATTCATCTTTCAGCTCCACCAGAGGCTGGAGCTGGAGATAGAGCGGATGAAGCAGATCCACCAGAAGGAGCTGGAGGACAAGGACGAGGAGCTGGAGGACGTGCGGCAGTCCTGCCAGAGGAGGGTAGGTCGGCGCCAGGTTGGGGGACAACGCTGGGTACTCCCCAGGGCTCCCCCTGTCCACAGTACAGTGGAGGAGCCGTTCCCAGGGGTCCTTCCTCCCTGGGGAGCGGCAGGGTGGGCAAGCGCTGCTTTCCCACCACCAGCCCGGCATGAGCCCTGTCGCAGCCCCTGGGTGCAAAATCAGGGTCGGGTCAGGCGTGAGTCCTTGTTGCCACGGAGCGGCTGTCGGGGACGGTGCGCAAGAGCCACGTGCGATGCAGCGCACGGGCACGGTGCTCCCGCTAACACCAATGTCACGCCAAGGGCACCAACTCCAGCCAGCCAGGGCTTCGTGTGTGGTAATAATTAACAGAAAATACCCTTCCAACAAGGCTGCGAGGTTGGTGGCTTGCAAACGCAAATTCCAATTTCTCCAAAATCCCTGGGGTGTTTGATGCGGGGCTGTGTGGTAGCAGCCAGTTCCCATTAGGCCTGGGGCATACGTGGCTGTCAATAGTGAATTAACATTGCTGAAGCTTAATGAACTGGTCGGTGGGGCTTTGCATGTGCTATTTTCGGAAGGTGGGACAAGTGGGAAGGCAAACGAGGCAATCTCTGCTCCTCCTGCTCCTGTCAGCACATAGCTGTGCCCTAAGCTGTAAGGCTCTGCATGCCACGGGGGGCTGCCTGGGGGCTGCCACCAGGTGCAAGCGCTGCCGTTTCCCACTGCGCTGCCTTCCCACAGTGCTGCCCTTCTGCTGGATGGTGCAGCAACAGCTCAGTGCTGCTCTCTCCCCATCTCCACTGGCCAGTTTTTGCTGAAGCTCTGGGCTGGTCGCGAGGATGCATTGCTCAGGGGTCCTCCCCGCCCTTCTGCACCTCTCTGCCTGTTTAATTGCCCTGTGCAGAGAACGAGGTAGTGCCAGCATCGCTAAAGGAAATGCAGTGCCTTGCAGCTGCTCTCGACCGATGGGGTGTCGTTCATCCTTTCTTTCCCTCACCCTGCATGGCCCAAGTATTATTTTCCAAATGAGTAAATGGCAGAGACACTCCAGAGAGCAAGCGATATTTAGCAGCCTGCTCCCGTTCCCTTTTTAAACCCTGTTTCTGAGCAGCGGCTGGGGGTGCAGCAGGCGGCTGGGACAGGGAGGGCTCCGGGGAGCTGTGCCATGGTTGCAGCCTGGCACGTCCACTCCTGCGGGCACAGCCACGCAGCTGCTTGCAAGGGGAGGAGCGGGCTGTGAAATGGGCTGGCTTGCTTTGTTAACAGGTTTCCACCACACACCACCACCCCCGCCCCGAGCTGGACTTGCTGGACCTCTCACAGCTGCACAGCAGAGCTCTGTGATGCTGCCTGAGGTCCGGTTCCCTCCTGCAAAGCACTTGCTGTTGCTGCAGCACTGTGGGACAACGATGCTTGAGCAGAGGCAAAGGCAGAGGGATACAAGCTCCTGGGTTCAGTGCTGGCTCTGAGGCTCCCTTTGCTCCCCGGAGCAGCACAAATCCTGCCTTTACAGCATGCTCTGCCCTGCGAGGCCACTGCCACCTCCTCACTGGTGGGGAGCTGGAGCAAGAAGCATGCTGCCTGCCTGGCTCATGGTCACAGGATGCCTTAATGAAACCTGGAGGGATTAGAGCTGACCCTCTTCTAGCTTGGCTGAAGGCCCCCTGCTACTGCTCCAGAACTGCAAGGACAGCCCTTAGGGACATCTGAGCATGCCTCACAGGCGGGGTAGCTCAAACAGCCCATCGTGCCCGCAAAAGTCTTGCAGGCTTCTGGACTGCTAACCCTTGCTCCTCCTGGCCAGGAGCAGTTGCACTGCCTGGAGGGTAGCAGGGGTTCCAGGGGACGTGGCCCGGTCCTGGTCCCCAACGCCAGCTGCAGTGATGGGAGGCTTCGGTGCACATGCTCTCCCGGGGGCTGCCCGGCCACCTGGGTCCCTGCTGTGGTGGTAGCTGTGCCCTGCTGGCACGTGGGGCTTTGGCGGGGGGCGACCGGGCTCTGAACGTGGCTGGGGTTGTCTCCCATGCACAGCTCCGGCAGCTGGAGATGCAGCTGGAACAGGAGTACGAGGAGAAGCAGATGGTGCTGCATGAGAAGCAAGACCTGGAAGGGCTCATCGGCACTCTGTGCGAGCAGGTAAGAGGATGGTGCCTGCCCTGGGGCCAGCCTGGTGGGGCTGCCGGCGGGGAGAAGCGTGCTCTGCTTTCCTTGCTGCTACCTCCCAGCCAGCCAAGCCGCTTTGCTGGCTGTGCCCTGGGCTCAAAACACTGCCCGTAAAAAAGGGAGCGTGAACGCGTGCATGCGTGTGGATGGGGCAACAGCTTGGTTGTTCACGCACGTCCAGCTGGCTGTGATGCCCTCCATCCCTTGCCTTTTCCAGACGCCACCCGTCAGAGCAGTGGCATGTGCCACAGCAGGCACTGGGTGCCAGGAGGGTTTCAGGACTGCAGGCATCATATAGGAGACAGCCGGTCCCACTAAGGACCCTCGGAGGGGAACTGTTCGCTTTTCTACAGGAGAATTATTTAAGCAGGGGGAGGGATCTGCTTTTTGCTGGTATTTTCATGAGTGTCAAACAAACCAGGACTAACGCTGGAGCAGCTCCAACTGCCCAGAAAAGCAGTTTATCAGATTCTGCTCTTTGCAGAGGAATTCTGTCCCAGACACATTTGTTGAACAAATCCTTTTTCACTCTGTAATGTGTCTGTGGCAGTGATTGAAGTGCACGTAATGGGAAAAGCACACACAGCTGCTCCCTGTTAAATTAGAAGGCGAGGGGCTGAACGCAGCATCATTGAGCAGCATTTATTGGCTTGGGCATTACTTAGCATCGCCAAGCAGCCAG